CAAAAAAAAACTAGAATGCCCTTAAACTTTGTTTTAACTTTAATGTATTTGTCCGTTATATTTTCAAACTCTAATATGCATTTGTCCCCCATTCCCTCAAATTTCAATGCATTGATTATCTAAAAACAAATTCTTTGTGGACAAATGAAAAAAAATGTATAAATAGCGCGCCATGCCATCCACCCATTGGATCTTTTTGAAAAAAAAAAGGAAGAAATTTATTTTTATCATCATAATACACAAAAAAACCAACATTGGATTCCAGACAATGGGGCCATGATCACTGTACCATAAGTCGATATCAATTGTTACATCCACTGTACCTGGCTACACCGAAGGAACATATTGGAAAAAGTAGCCCACGAGACCAACCTCTCAAGAAGGCTCCATCAACAACTTGCCAAAAATTTAGAAAACTCAATTCAATTTCACGGATCAATCATATTATATTCATGGACTATAAGAATATGTATCGGCCGTACAATGTTTTGGCGCAGTAGCTGTTTTGCTTTTTGGATCACCAGTACAAATCAAGAGCAGTTTATCAAATTAAGCAAAGTGAAGCTGACGTGGAACAATATTTGACCCATCTATCTATCTATCAAATCCCTTGCTTGTCTCCAAAGGAAACTAATTAGCAAAGATGAAAGAATAACCAAGCTATGCGTAGTTTAAAAGTTCACTTTTTTTGAGTGAAGGACATGCTAACCCACGGGTCTATAAACTGTTCATTTGCTGACATCTTCTTTTGTTTCTTTCTACATGTCCTGCATCCATCTATGCCTGCAGGGACCAACTTGCAGCTGCAGGTAGCTGGTTCAAATCCTCAGGTGATTTTGTTAGCTCATATTTTGGTAAATAATTCCATATGTACATAGTAGCACCTGCTCCACCATTTGAGTGGAGTGTCATATATAGGTGAAGTACTTGAATTACTCACTCCGTCCCAAAATAAGTGCAGCCGTGTAGTTCACCGGCTGCACTTATTTTAGGATGGAAGGAGTATATATTAAGCCTTATTGGGAAGATGATTTCCTCCTAATCCACAAGTTTTTTTTTTCACAAGTTTATATGTTATACCAGAGGATTTAGGTCTCTCTTGCAACATACGGATTTTGCAGGATTTTCACGGGCATTGAGCTGATAGGTGTGAAAATACTGTAAATTTACCATTCTTGAAAATGCGCCTCGGTGAATTTAGCACTGTCCTATTGTTGTTGACTTATCATCACACTAGAACAAATGTACTGGTTAGTGGGCTCAGTGGGTCATAGCTAGTTAAAACCCTCGTGTGGTTTTCTTTAGCCTGGAGTGGTAAAGAATTCCATAAATCCGTAGCAGCACCAGCTCCACCATTTGAATCTTATAGTCTAGAGAAAGACTTGGGGGCTTTTTTTAGGTCTAGATTTATTGGTTTAGACTTTTAAGTTACTTATAAGCTAATGGATTTAAAGTCCTAAGTTTAATGATAGAGTCATATATCTCTCTCACATAAGTCAAAAAAAAGTTTTTCCAACTTAGTTTTTGTCTTAATAGCGAAAGTAGCTTATGGCTTTAAAAAAGCCAAACGAAAAAATTACTTATTTGTTTAGCTTTAGCCTTAGATTTTTCGATTCATAACTGTCTTATAAGCCTAAACAAAGAAGGCCTTAGAGTTTTACTGTATAGCACAAGTTGGTGGGCTAGCTGGCTCGGCTTCAAGCCTCATCACCTCTTAATAAACATTGGTAGTTACTCCTCTCATATATATAGGTTTTAAGTACTTGCATAACAAGTCTTGCGAACACTATTTTTTGTTTTTGCGAACGCCTTGAATAACAAATCTTACTGAAGCCCTATTTTAAAACATGAGTTTCCCCCAATCCCTATATCAATGAACTGATTCATTTGATTTTTCACGGATTTCAGGATTCATGCCTCTTTTGGAACATAGGAATTTCGGAGGTTAAATTTTCATGGACATTGGACTTGTGTGTAAAAATGCTGTAAAATTTCTGTGTGCTTCAGAACAGACAGAGCTGGGTAACTTACCAATGTCCTGTCATTGTTGACTAGGACATACGTACTGGCTGGCTGGAGGGCCCAATATTGGGGCCTGAAATGAACAATGAGATGCCAATATGGAATTTCAATTTGTAGCTAGGAGTAGCACAAACTAGGGATGTGTGAAGTGAATCTGAAAAACCATAGGTGAAGCCGGACGATGGATGGATGTGCATGGGCATATGGTGGTGTGGCCCTGCAGAGATGAAAGGAAAGCATTGGGGTGCATGCAGAAGGCCAGGCCAGAGATGAGATTTTTGCTTTGGTAGGGGACCCAAGATCAGGCTTTAAATTTGGGGCTTTTGCAACAAAGTGTGGTTGTGCTCTTGTCGTTGGATGACCTAATCTGAGTAGCAGTACAAAGCCCCTGCCACACATGACACACACCAGGACAACCATAACTGCATCTGCATTGACATTGGCTTTAATTTTTCAGCTTGTTTTTACTTTTCCAGTTTGGCCGGTCTTCATCGAGCACAATTTACTCAGGAAAAAAGATGTGTATTCCAGCAAACATAATACTTTCTAGGAAAATGATATACATATGTCCTTATTGTCTAGCTACCGTATACGACCACGGCCACAATGGAAGGCTCAATCACTTGGACGATAAATGTCTCACTTCGGTAATAGAATCTGACATGTGCTGCTGACGTCGTAACAAAGTCGGACGTTGCGATCGTACGTATAGCAGCGTTCTACTTTCTAACATAGAGTTACAAGCCAGTAAATAAAAATTACTATAGAATTTCATCCCCGCTGAGCCACATCATCAATATATTTTTATTATTTATTGGATCAATTGGTCCCTCAAACATCCGCGGTTAGATTAGTTATTACGTCTATACAAATGGCTAATAAGGTCCAAACTAGAGGTTAGGTTCAGATGGATCTTCACCTCATTTTCGCCTTGTCTCACCTCGCAAATCTTAATTCCTCTAATGTTTTTAGCACAACTATTTTTTTATATGTTTATCAACCATCCTTAATTATCTATATATCCGGTCGTAATGCGCGGGGTTCATAGACCAACACATGTCTTTTCTGCACACTTTGTCCTCACTCGTGTGCACCCGGGAAGAATTTCCCGGTCGGTCACCCATCCCAAATTACTCCAGGCCAAGCACGCTTGTCCAGTGCCAGCACATGTGCCATGCTGTGTGACCACTCCGGGTCCACACCAGCCATGCACACCATGCCTGCGCAACTGCGATACACGCGCCCGTGAAACCACGAGAGTCGGCTCTGATACCATTTTCTTAACCCTAGAGTTATTTGAAAATCGGCTTCCGGAAAAGAAGTTGCAACTTGGCCACGTCCATGTATCCAGTGCCAGACTGCTCCCAGGCCGGGCCTGCTTATATAGGTCGTAGACTACCCTACTCTGGAATAACACAATGTCTTTTCTACACACTTTGTCCTCACTCGTGTGTACCCGGGAAGAATTTTCCGGTCGGTCACCCATCCCAAATTACTCCAAGCCAAGCACGCTTAACCCCGGAGTTCTTTGGAAATCGGCTTCCGGAAAAAAGTTGCAACTTATTGATATAAGTATTCTATTAATCCTATTAAGCCCTGGGCTGGGATGTCACACCATCTTTCTTATTCATGAAAAAAAAAATCATGTTTAAGCTCTAAAGGAGTATTAAATAACTTGTGAAGCCCCCAATCAACTTGAGGGGAGATTGAATGGTTGGAAGCTACTTGGGCACAACCTTTTAAAAATTTTCATGGAAGGAGAACATATATAAAATTTTGCATCAGGGTTCAAGCATGCATGCATGTCAATCTACTACTACTTCTGTACTACTTAGCTGTGAAATTCAATCAATGGGCCAATGATGTGTGTGTAAATGCAAAAAGCTGACCCTTTTGCTTAGCCTGCTTCACCCACTAACTCAGCACACTTTTCTCCCTTCCTTAACAGCATAAATGAATGAAGAAGCCCATCATTCTCCAGGAAATCATACCAACCTTTCATCAGGCCATACTAGCTAGCTGCTAGCTTTCCTTCCCCACTTTTAAGATCGCCAAAGCTGATTGTTTGTGTGTGCCCTAATTTTGTTGCCCTGCCTGAAGCAAACAAACATTCATGGACTGCTCACTTATCTCCACTAATTTAACAGTTGTAATTAAGATACCTAACCCAAAGCTGGAGGAGAGATGTGCATATGCTGAAAGATACACATGCATGCACAGTGACCGATCAGAATTCAGAACAATGTGGAAAAAAAGAGAAGTGGATGATCTCAGATCGACCTTTATGTCTCATGTATTGGTGTTATCACGCCCTGTTCCAACATTTCGAAGTTAGTTAACACTCACTACCTATATGCTTTGTTTCAGATGTAGAAAAAAGATTCAATTATTCAGTATGAATCCTTGCACAGGAACACCATTAGCTTTAATTAATCAGGGCCCTACACAATTAATCAGGGCAATGGTGATCATAAGCAAAATTCAGACTTGTCAATTGTGACCCATGTCCCACCTGTCCACTACTTGTCTTTGCACTTTAGCTCATGTATATCTGGGCACTATTCGGAAGAAGAATTTTTACAATCCTTAAAGAAAGTATTCACAGGTAAAAATTTTAGTAACTTGAGATATCTAATACCTAGAGATATTAAGTTTTATCAGGTGCTGCTTCAGGAGCTCTCCAAAGAGGACCCTAAAATCTAATCTCCCAGCTAGCTTTGGAGGCAGTAATTAACATCCATTGGAAGAGCATATAATGGGATTAGAGCACAGTAACAGCAGGTAAGCAGGCAGGCAGGCATGTACAGGGGATTTCTTGAGTCCAGTGCATCACAGTCTGAAGAGAGAGAGAGAGAGAGAGAGAGGCAAAGGAAAAGACAGAATGCCCAGCGATCCTTGTGGGGTGTTGCTGACACGGAGCTAGCTAGCTAGCTAGCTAGAGAGAGAAAGCTACTACTACCCTAGTAAGAGAAAGAAAGAAATACATAGTGATAGAGATAGAGAGAGAAAGCTATAGTTCAGTGTGAATTGTGGGTGTCATCCAATGGGTGGAGGGGTTGCACTTGCACACACACTTGCTCCTCATTCCTCTCTCCTCTCCTCTCCTCTCTCTCATCAACCCTAGCTTGATAGTTGATTCAACCAGCCAATATATTCGATCTCCCCTTCTCTTCTTCTCTCGATCGATCGGGTGATGAGAAGCCAATTGAGAATTTGAGATCGTTCGATCATCACCTCGTTTCTTGCTGAGATTATAGCCAAGCTCCATGATTCCGTCTATGCCGGTAGTGACACTGCAAGGTGCACACCAGTAGATAGCTAGTGGCAGCAGCAGCAGCAGCATCAGTGGAGCTAGTCGTCGTCCCGGCCGGCCTTGCCGTCAGAGATCGATCGGTGTAAGTTACAGGGTGCAAGTGCGATCGATCGCCACCGGCGCAGCGAGATCTGATTGATATTGATCCATCGCCGATCGATTGATCATACGTTCAGATATCATAATCAGCAGCAGCTGGTAGAATTCAAGAGAAGTTCGTCCAGATGATGCTCAAGGATCTGGCCGAAATTCAGCAGCAGCAGCTGCTCGCCGCCGCCGAGGAGAACATGTCGAACCTGACGTCGGCGTCCGGCGACCAGGCCAGCGTCTCGTCCCACCCCGCTCCTCCTCCCGCCAAGAAGAAGCGCAGCCTCCCCGGCAACCCAGGTCAGCACCGAATTCTTCGATCGCGATCGAGTTAATCGAATTTAGGATGAACTAACTAACTAATTATGGGTAGATCCTGAGGCGGAGGTGATCGCGCTGTCGCCGAGGACGCTGATGGCGACGAACAGGTACGTGTGCGAGATCTGCGGGAAAGGGTTCCAGCGAGACCAGAACCTGCAGCTGCACCGGCGAGGGCACAACCTGCCATGGAAGCTGAAGCAGCGGAACCCCAAGGAGGTGGTGAGGAAGAAGGTGTACGTGTGCCCGGAGGCCGGCTGCGTCCACCACGACCCGGCGCGCGCCCTCGGCGACCTCACCGGCATCAAGAAGCACTTCAGCCGCAAGCATGGCGAGAAGAAGTGGAAGTGCGACAAGTGCTCCAAGCGCTACGCCGTCCACTCCGACTGGAAGGCCCACTCCAAGGTCTGCGGCACCCGCGAGTACCGCTGCGATTGCGGCACCCTCTTCTCCCGGTCAGTCGTCTCTCGTGGCCGCCGCCGCCGCCGCCGCCATGGCCGTCGTCGGAGGTTCTGATGATCGGGTTGCGGTGTGGGTGCAGGCGGGACAGCTTCATCACGCACAGGGCGTTCTGCGACGCGCTGGCGGAGGAGAGCGCGAGGGCGGTCACGGCGGCGGCGGCGGTGGCGGGGCAGCAGCAGCATGGCGGCGGGATGCTCTTCTCGCAGGTGGCGGATGTGCTTGATCACCAGGCGGCGATGGCGATGGGGGGGCATGGGCTGATGCAAGAGCTGTGCCTCAAGAGGGAGCAGCAGCAGCAGCAGCAGCAGTTCGCGCCGTCGTGGCTCACGGCGCAGCAGCAGCAGCAGCAGCTGGAGGCGATGGCCGGCGCGGGGAATCCGGCGGCGATGTACGGGTCGGCGAGGCTGGACCAGGAGTTCATCGGGAGCTCCACGCCGGAGAGCGGCGGCGCGCAGCAGGCCGGCCTCAGCTTCGGGTTCTCGTCGACGTCATCCGCGCCGCCGCACCCCGCCGCCTCCTCGGCGCACATGTCCGCCACCGCGCTGCTGCAGAAGGCGGCGCAGATGGGCGCGACGCTGAGCCGCCCGTCGAGCCACGCCCACATGGCGGCGGCGGCGGCGGCGAGCACGCACAACAGCAGCAGCAGCGCCGCCACCACCAATGCTCCCCCTCCTCCTCCTACCAGCAACGTGTCGAGCACTTGCGTCGGCGCCGGCGGCTACGGGCTCGCCTTCGAAGCGTCCCACTTCATCGCAGCAGACGAGAGCAGCAGGGGCGCCAGGTCCGATCGTGACACCGGCAATGGCGTCGCCGGAGCCGGCAACGACGGCCTCACCAGGGACTTCTTGGGTCTCCGAGCCTTCTCCCACGGCAACATAATGAGCATGGCCGGCTTCGATCCCTGCATGTCGACGACGTCGGCGTCGTCGGCGGCGCCGTACGACCACCACCACCACAGCAACAAGCCATGGCATAGCTAGTAACCACCTCGGCCGCCATGGATGAATAGCGAATGAATCATGCAAGCAAATCCAAACAAATTTTGTTCGTGGGCTACTCATCGATCGTTCGACAAGAACTGCCTGATGATGATGATCATGTCAAGATTATTTCATAGCTGGGTAAGTGAGTCGAATTTACCCAGCTCTCTCTCTTTTGATGTTCCAATTGAGGTTTAATAATTCGATGTTCTTTTGGGAGGGTATGGGCTGTTCAATTCATATATATGGAACTTTTCAAATTATATACTGTTGTTTATGCTAGCTATATATCATAGTTAATTCATCTTCCTACTGTAATAATAAAATTTTTAGCCATTCTCAGCTCATAAAGCTGTGTAGAGCTACTGCCATTAGAGCTCCATTTGTAATCAGTTGTTACCATTAATCATTCCCTTAAATTTCTAGTTCCTGAAGAATGGATTTGCATGCATTTTGAGCTGGGGGTGCACTTAATTAATAACTTATCTGGAAAATAAATGTGGTGTGATGAAGTAAAATTTTCAAAATCTGTGTTTAATTATGGGCTAATGGTTTTCATATGTTATGCACATGTTGTTGCCCGTATATACTTAGTTGTAACTGCACAGGTTTCCTTCATTTCTGATAAACTGAATTGGAGTACATGTAAATGCTTTCTCTGCTAAAATGAATGAAATTGGAAGTGAAATGTTATGAAACATTTTTCAGAAGAAAACACGGTACTGCTTCAGAAAGCCGTAGCAGTAATTCGAGAACTTTAATCAATGCAGCAGTGTAAGGCTGTAAGCTGAGAACTACTATGTCATTATAGTTACTGAAACCGCCTTTAAAATAAAGCGTTGACAAGGAAATAAACACTACCCAGTGTAATCTCACTCTCTCAGCCGTAACAGTATTGTGACATTATCAGTAAAGTTAATGCCTTGTTTTTTTTTAATATTGGAGTACTCTTTTTATTCATTTCACATTTTGGTTATACAAATAAAATAGTTTCCAATGCCTATTTCAAATGTAAGAACATCAATCAATAGACATACCTTAGGGCTTAGGCATGTTACTTTTGACAAGAATAAACCGTATTATTATCCCTGCCTGGACCATTGCATATTCTTCTTCACACCAGTACTTAATTGTGTGTACTCTGCAGTTATTAGATTAGGCATTTAACAACATATATAGGCAGAATGTCAGATAAAGTTGCCAATTCCCTCCAGAGTCATGCATGGGCTAGCTCATGGTGTGTGCTGTAGCTTCATGCATGGTAGAGAAAAACTGTTCTTCCATTTGAATATAAATATTTTTTCTAGCTAGGTGCATGGAATGGGCATAATTGCAACTATTATGTAGAGTTAGCTACTTTAATTTCCCTCAAGACAGAACAGTCAAGATATTCCGTAGAATGTCCTACTGGCTACATCTTTTCTGGAAAGTGAATAGTAGAATGTACTGTATTACACTGCATCTTACACAATTTTAGGCTTTTGAATGCTAAGATCTTTTGTTGCAAGAAAGCAGTCGTTTTAAACTTCATGCAAATCAGTGAATCTTGCACGATGAGTTTTATTTGATTCTGTCATTATATACTCATAATTCAAGTATGACACATAAAAGTTTTATTTGATTCTGTCATTATATACTCATAATTCATATACTATCAAACATGAAGAAACACGCATATATAGATATAGGAGCAACTGCTGCTGTAGGTAATTAAAATAACCAGGGGTTTTTTTTATGCCAATTGGCCTTTTGCATGCTTTGGTAGTTTCTACGGAATCATGATTGATCACAGACGACACAGACGAGAGCTCCAGCAAGCCAGCCATGCCATCCATTTCTTTCCTTTTGGCCATGCCTTGGTGATCTCAAATGCTTGTATTTCCCCCTTGTCTTGTTCCAGGGAATCCTCATGATTTCATGGCAGCAGAAACAGGAAACAATCCCTGAATATATTAAAAAAACACCATAGACCAAGCTTGAAATACTCCATCTTTTGAAAATATAAACATTTTTAGGTTCTTCAGCAAAAACAAAGGTGGAGGGAAAAAGAATTCTCTTCTAGTCACTTCAATTCAGTAGTCAAATTTTGATATTTGAATTGCTTATAGTATTCCTTTTCCCAAGCATCTCATTGGTTAAAAATGTACATTGTTTGTGCATTAGAATCAGTGGCCTAGAAATGTTTTCATATTTTGGATGGAAAGAGTATAATTATATTATTAGCAATAGCCCCCATTTATGTGTCATACTTAAATTTATCCCTCAAACATAGCTTATCTAGTTTATCTACTCCATTGAAGAGGAAATGATGTCAATGTGCATTTTCAGAAACTAAAGAAGAAGATAGAGATATTGGAGCAGTTTGTGTTTGGCTTTCATGCATGTCATTGCTAGGTATATATGTGTAGTCGTAGCAAGTTAGCCAAGAAATGGTTGGGCAGTGGGTGGCCCTGCAGAGTCCGGCAAGATCGGCACTACTGCTCACATGTGAGTGACCATCCATCTCTCACCATGGATGCATGATGATGGGGTACTACTGCTGCTGCTTCTGCTGCTGAGCCTCAGCCTGATCAAAAGAGAGAGAGAGAGAGGAGAGAAAATTAAGCAAGGAGCAGCTGGAAAAATATATATGCAATGCAAGCTGTGCTGTGTGTGCATAGTGAGCTTGGTAGTAGAGGGGCTGCAAGTTTGGAATTGAGCATGGACATTTGGTAGACAAGTGCAGCCTACTTTGCCACCAAATATTCCCACGCATCAAAGTCAGGGCTCGCCGCCAAGCGCTACCGGACAATCCCCCCCTCGTCACGTGTCCCTTTCTCAGTAGGAGTGAGTACCCCTCTCTCCTCTTCTTCTGTGTGCGCATGCTTCCATCCATCACAGATGAGAGAGAAACACCATACACTAGTCTACTCTGCTGGAGTAGAGCAAGTTTAATAGCATAGCCCACTATTAGCTTCAATTCATCTATACACAATGTCTTGGAGTTCATGCTGCAGCTTGCTACAGATCTGTAGCCCGCTGTTCTTCTCTCTTATCGTTTATCTCATTAAAATATGTTTATAGCTGGCTAATAGTCTGCTATTGTACCAGCTCGTAGTAGTAGTGTTCTGCTGGGTTACCTGGCAGCAGCAGCAGCAGTAATTGATGATCGATGATGCACCGTGGAGAATTGCAACTCTCACAGCAGCAGGTGTACATTGCTTTGCTTGATCATGGTCATGGCGTAGGAGTATATCGATTGGCTCATGCATGCAGAATAGCAGATGGAGACGACGAGGTAGAGAGAGAGATGAGATGACGGAGTACGAGTAGTAACTTTCTCCCGGGGGTCGCGTCGATTGATCCTGTGTGAAGAAGAAGAGAGAAGAGAAAGTTGCGGTAAATGTTGGCGGCCATCGCGATCGAGGTTGTAGTGGGTGTGTTTAGTTCTAAAGTTTTTTTTTTTAAACTTTTAACTTTCCATCACATTAAACCTTTTATACACACAACTCAGTCACATCGTCTTTAATCTTAACCAAATTTTAAACTTTGGACCAATCTAAACTTTGTGTAGGCCATCACTACTACACCCAGCTCGTTCCTCCTAGCCTAGATGGCCGTGCATGCCTCTGCATCTCCATGTCTAGAGAGAGAGAGAAATTTGGATGGATGGATGGATGGATGCATGGTGATGATGGGGGAGACAGGTGAAGGAGGGAGAAAGCCGAAACTTTTGTTGCCCGGCCCGTTGACATGAAATAGCACCCCAAGCCCGAGGCCCTTAGCTCAACGTACGTACTAGCCTCGCTTTTTCTCTGCTAATGAAAAGATGTGCATGCGTTTACTATCTCTAATTAAACCCCTCCAATGATGCTTGGTTCCTACAGGATCTGTGTTTTAACACTGCACTGGAGTAGGGCTCCCATCGGATGGTACAATAAGCTAAAGCTAAAGAATAAGCCAAATTTTGAATTTTCAAACTTAATTTTGAGATTGATTTTGAAATATTTTCAATGTAGTTTTTTTTCAGCATTGGCTTTTAAGTTACAAAGAACACATATATAAAAGTTTTACCTACAAATTTATTTTTATTCCATAATAAGCCGTTTTGGCTTATTAGAAAAAAAGCCAACCGATGGAGGCCTAGGATAGGATGTACTATGGTTGATCATCTTGTCGCTTCCCTCCGCACCAACGGCGGAGGAAGGAAAAATGGAAATGTACTAAAATAAACGCTGCTATGAGTTTCTGTATTCAACTTTAATTGTCCATTTTATTTAATTTTTTTTATGATTATTATTTTTATTGTTACTAGATTATAAAACGTGAACAATACTTTATACGTGACTTATGTCTTTTATTTTTTTTAAAAAAAAATAAATAAGACGAACAATTAAAGTTCGACACGGAAACTCATGCTGCGCTTATTTTAGGACGAAGCAAGTGCATAACAAAATGTTATTTTAATGATATGAGTTTTGGAGCACTGACCCAGCAAGTCAACATCTAATATGACAATAGCTAAGATCAATTAACGACATACGGAAAATAAAGTAAGGAAGGATATAGCAAAATACCTCGACAAAATAAAGATTCGACAAAAGATAGCTAATTTGTAGACAATAGATATATAGATAATTTGCCAAAAAAAATAGACACACCCATAAAAGATAAATTACATATAGGTACTTTAGGAGATCTAGGCAATGCACTTTCCTTTCTTTCTTTTTATTTTTTTAAGAGATTCTCTGCTCAGTACCACTGAGTTCGTCACAGTTCAACAATATGCTACTGACTTTATCGACATCTATAATATGTCATCGCTTTTTCCTTGACCTCAACGATTTACTATCGCCGTCCACAGTCTATCAGCTACACGCCATTTTTACTGTTATTTTTTTTAATGACCGAAATACCCTTTCAGTCATCTTACCTAGCACAAAGTTCCTAGCGCGCCCCAATTTTTCCTCTTCGAGCACCACCTTCCCAACGCCGCCACCTGTAGACTCTAGCTAGTCTAAATGCAAGTCTACATGGTCTAGACAATACATCTACTATCGACATATTATTTTTGCACACAAATGAATACACTAAACACACTTACACATGTCCCAAGATGTAGCCCCTCTCGTAGAGTCGTGGGTCGGAGGGAGGTGGGAGTAAGGTCCACGGTAGCAACTAGCAAAGGAGAAGCATTGCGATTTCGTGGCTGCGAGTGGCTTAGAGCAGAGAAGAAGAGTATGGAATAGGATGAAAACCCTAAAACATATTGGTTTTGGGGAGGGCACAAAGTTTCATGTCCTGCCACACAAAAAAAATGCATTGGTCCATTGCCTAGGCTATAGTCTAAGCGACAGTTTTACGTTCTACACTCATCTCGATGCTGTCTAATTGTGTGGTCGAGACAGTCTAGAACTAGAACCGTCTTTGACTAACTAGATGGTCAAACGGTCTAATTCTCGGTTTAGGCTCTAAACTCGATGATAACCGATCGTCTAGCATCTAGACTATGGTCTAGGCGAACACTGACGGTAGGATCGAAAAACAGACGTTTAACAATGACAAAATCCTTTGTATACTCCTGAAATTTTAGCTAATTCCTTCTATACTCTTGAATTTTGCTTACTTCCTTATATACCCAAAATTTGATTTTGATCCCTTCCATGCCAATCCCGTCAGTTGACCGTCTGATTTCTATAAAAATATCCATTTTACCCTTTGGATGAACATAAAAAAATTATGAATTACATTATTGAAAATGTAAAAGTTTGTCGCATGAAACTATTATAGTTATGAGTTTGCTGTACGATACATTATTTATGATAAAATTTATTTTTAGATAATGAAATAAAAAATATGTATTTATTTTATTTTTTTAAAAAAAATCATAAAATAATGAGGAGCATTCATACAAAGATATGACTACCAATGCTCACGATACTATTTTTATGAATGCTCCCGATAAAAAAAAATCCATTATCCTATTAAAATTGCAAATAAATTTTTTTGTTTATTACATTTTTTTATTTTCAAAATTTATGTCAATATTTTCTGATATATAATTATTTATAGTCTCATTAGTTTCATAAAATGCACACACTTTGCACTCAAACAAAAATTTCAATCTTTTTCATGCTTATATTCAATCCTAAATTAATCATCAAGGGCATAACAGACATTTGCAACCAAACGTAACAGTGAAAAGAAGAAAAATGTAACGGCAGGGCATGGAAAGGATCAAAATTTTAAGGGTATAGAAGGGATCAAATAAATTTCAGGGATATGAAAGAGATTATGTGAGTTTTCATGGGTATATAGGGAATTTACTCAAAATTTATCCATGTAACCATGAGTAAATATTTTACTTCTAATATTTTTTTAATCATAAGTAAAAGTTTTACTCATCGTGATATGGATAAATCCTATTTCTTGATTTTTACGGTAGTTTACATGTTTGTACTACTACATATAAAGGTTTGTAGTACATATTTTTCCCATCTAGTCTCACTTTTCATGAGGCACATCTCTGATTTCTTTCTTCGTCTGCCAATGCTTATGTTCTTGCAGCGACGGCCGATAGGTGGCCGGAAACAAGAGAGAGATGAAAATTCCGGTGCATGTAGAGGACAAAATGTAAAATTCCTAGTGGTAAAGATCGAAATCAGCGAGCAAAATGCAAAAATTACCTGATCATCAGTTCATCACCATCACCTAAGTAATCCAGAAATACGGCTCAATCATCCACTACTTGATTGGGCCGAATCCCTCTCAAAAATCGATGGGCCTGAATTTGACTCCTGTGACGAGGTACCAGGGAGCTCACGGCGGCCCAACATTTCTCTGCGTAACGGCTCAAGCCGCCGCCGGCGGCCGGAGGAGCTCGGTCCGGCCAGCGACCTCCGGCCGTTTCGCGTTCCCGGCGATCCCCGTCTCTTCCCCTTCTCTACCACCTAGCTCGATGCACGATGAACAGAAGCGAAATGCAGCATGCTGTTGATCAAGTAAAATTTACCTGGATTGCGACCGAGAAATCCAGAAACGGGGCGGAAGAATTCAGGGAGGGGAGAACGCAGCGCCAATCCTCGCCCCCTGCCGCTCCGCTCGCCGCCGGCGCTCGGCGGCGTCACATCGATCTGGCATGCCCCAGGTGATCTCCCATCTCTGAATCTCTCCCGATTCCCAATTCCCAATCCCCAAACAACGTAATGTGGCTAGGGCTAACGGGCCAGAGGAAAAGCCATGGATTATTATGGCGAGATGGCGATGGAAATGTTGTCTTCGCCGTCGCCGGCGGCGGCCGAGCGGTGAGAGGACAGGAGCCCTAGAGGTAAACGAAGGGCAAAAAAAAAAAAAAAGTACTTAGGAGACACCGTAATAGGGCCGGCCCAAAACACCTCTCACTAGACCGGGCTGAATTATCTAACAGCCCAATAGGCCCATTTAGGCCCAATATAACAGCCTAGTTGGAAGGCCGAAGATGCCTTTGCCTGCTCATCCACGTACGGGAGCGGATCAACCCGGTGGCGCCGCCGACCTCCGGCGAGCCGCCGGCGATGGCACCGCCGACAACCGCGCCACCGTGGTGACCTTACCGCCGCCGGATTCAGTGGCTACCCCGGTAGCACCTACACGAAGGTTACTCTTTTCTCTGAACTGTATTTTTCATTGAGCCCTTGTGTTTGTTTGATCTTCATAAGGGAATTTTTCAGGTTTTGATCCTCAAAAAAGCTTAGGATTTTCCCGTTCTTCCAATCCGTGTGAGGACTATGGAATAAAGGATATACATGATTTAGCTTTCTTAATTAGCACTACATGATAGCAATTTGGCACCTTTCAATGGAAGATGTGTAACTGGTAAAGGATAACAAAAGGGTAGGAAGATTGCACCATCAATGCCGAAACTTTTCATCCCCAAACTGAAGAAAAAGGGCATGATAAACTAAGGCCCTGTTTAGATCTTCCAAAATGACAAAAGTTTTGCTATTTTGTTGTACTTTTTGCCATTTTGGATCTAAACACTAGTAGTAAAAGTTGGCAATTTGGTATTTGGCATTTGCTAGTCCATAGTAGCAAATTGTGCCAAAAAGTGCTTTGGGACCACTCCATCTCTCTTTCTCTTTCTCACTTTATTGCTAGAATGGTAAAACTTTAACATGCATCTAAACACCAACTAGTACTTTTGCAATGCCAAAACTTTTGCCATTTGCCATTTGCTATTCCAAATGGATCTAAACAGGCCCTAAAGCGGCTTTTTCTCTGAAAAAAAATACTTTGTAGTAAACAGAGCACTTATGCCATATTCTCAAGAAAGCATATCAACTCTCGCAAGTTGCTGATGCAGCAGCATCATCCACTGGGTTAGAGGTATGGAAGAACAGAAGCAATTCTGTCAGATTTACATGGCAGTTTCTTCTGAAACAAGTGGAATCAGCCAGAAGCTGCAACTAGCCAGAAAAAAAGAAGCTTATCATCTTCATTGCAACAAATGCATTTCTAAATGTAGTCTGAATCTATACATCAACAGTTCCTACCAAACAACTAATCATAACTCAAACCAAAAAGAAAACAAAGAAAATCACAAATGAACTCAAACTGACAAGCTGAAAAAGAGACGACATCACAAATCCAAATGCAGACAAACCTAGTATGGAACCAAATCTGAGCTCATCTCATTAAATCCTTGAATACTCCACAGCTCAAGCTCTGCCCTGCTACTATCCTGATTTCTGAACTATACAGCCTTTTATCTCCACATGAGTAATGTACAGAAACTAGGCCTGAAAACTCTCTATTTCCATTCAACTGAATATTTATCTTCGCAAGATTGAAAAGGGAACAGAAAAAAACCTCACCTATTACTACACTGCGAGCGCGTCTCAAAATCTGGTGAGGCACCATGCTCACTCATACTCCCTCTTGATAGGCTTCGCAATCTCTGCCAGAACTTTCTGTTCTTGCCTGTCATCAGTGGACCTGAGCTGGACTGCTTTCGGAAAGAACCTGAATCCGCAGCGGGAGTGAAGACAGGGGTTGAGCCAAACATCTCAGATAACAGCACCCTCTCAGCTTCCATGCCAGTTACATCATAGATTGCTGCAGCTTGTGCCGCCAATTCCTGGCTGAAACTTCCTGATCCGAGGCCCTCATCACCGTCACTGCAAACAAGTTTTAAGGCCTGCACTACTTCACCCATGCTCGGGCGATGCGCAACCTCAGGTTGTACACACATTGATGCGATGGCAGCTGCTTTTGCGACATTGTCCAGGGGTACGTTAGGGCCAAGAAGTGGATCAACAGCTTGACGTAGGCTTACCACATTGGTCAGAAGCGGGCGAGCCCATGAAACTAGGTTTTCTTGCCCCCCGGGCCTAGACATGTCCACTGGCTTTCTACCGGTGAGGAGCTCAAGCAACACTACTCCATAGCTGTACACATCGCTCTTGACAAGGAGATGTCCTGTCATGGCATACTCCGGTGCAACATATCTGAGAAGAAAGACATAGTCATATTATGCATTAGAAATTGTGATTCCATCAGAACACAGAGGGATGAGGGATATGATTCATACCCAAATGTTCCCATGACACGAGTGGAGATGTGCTGGTTCCCCTCCCCCCTTGCAGTCCTGGCCAGTCCGAAATCAGACACTTTCGGTGTGAAATCATGCTCCAATAGGATGTTGCTTGACTTAAAATCACGATGAATCACACAAGGGCTTGAATCTTCGTGTAAATATGCAAGAGCTCGTGCAGCCCCCAAGGCTATCTTCATGCGGGCATTCCAATCGAGTGGTGCTGTCTCAAGATCCACTCCTACAAAAGTCAAAGGCAGATCTTTCAGTCAATTGCTTAAACTTTACAGGCTGGTGGCCTTAATTCTTCAAGTACTTACCATGCAAATGGGATTCTACACTGCCATTCGGAATAAGTTCATAAACCAGACATCTTGCGTTCTCCTCTACACATATGCCTAACAACTTGACCAAATTTCGGTGATGCAAGCGTCCCAGCATCTCAACCTCAGCCAAGAACTCTCTCTCGCCTTGGCCATCATACCTCTTCAGAACCTTTACTGCAACCCTGGTTCCATCTTCAAGCGTGCCCTGGTAGACACATCCGAAGCCACCCTCTCCAAGTACTGTTGAATCATCAAAGCTGTTTGTGGCCTTCTCAATCTCAGCAAATTTGAATGTCTTTGCCTGTCCTGCATATGTTGCGATACTTGAGCCCAATGAACCTGATGGACCTGATGGTGAACTATAGCGACCAGCTAACAGTGTTTGACCTGTACCTGCAATAATTCAACATGTTTCAGGAGGGAAACCAGTACTGTCATGACAGGGTAACGATACGATAAGTGGAAATTATAGAAAAGGCATTATCTGAAAAGTCATTGCAACTTGCAAATACTGTTCATCACCATTTTAAATAAGCATTTTTTTTTTGTCCCAGGCATATGCTTGAACTTTTTAAAAACTAGTAAGCCCATAAACCCTATTAGAGTGATTCACACTCTCTCAACGAGGATGGACGGCTAACAGCGAAACTAGCTCTTGCTAGATGGGAGCATCTGATTCCAGTGGCAATGGCTAAACCTAGATCAGTTAAAGATGAAACCAGGACTTTGATAGCTCATTTAAATGCAGTACCTATAGAACAGATAGGAAAAAAAAAACAGAGATTATGAGGTCCCAATGATGACTGAAAAAGCACACTAATGCTGTTCTGCTGTATGAGGAAATATGCTGGATGAGTACACATACCAGATGATCTGGAAAATTTTGGAAGTGCGCTATGTGGAAATCTTTGAGCCAAGCCATCCGAACCCCTGAATCTGATTATCAGCAACCATGCAGCTAGAGTGCAAATAATCAATGCTATAACAGTAGACAAGACGGCAATAGCAATTAGGCTGCCGTTGACTCTTTTTTTGGGCCTGCCTACATCAACCCCGAGAGGCTTCATTGCCCTTGCATTTCTGTTGTTTCCAAATGCCCCGTCACCAACACTTTCCGGTGCTGAAGGTGGAGAAGGAGGAAGCCCTGCACAAAATCCATATCTTTGGTGAAAACTTGTGGTGCAGAAATTCAGCATGTTCAACAATGAGAAAGTGCAAGATGGAATAAGTTTATGTCTGACATTGCTGTTGTTTATGAGATCAACCAGATGACTATAATAAATTGATAGCAGTTGGTGGCATTGACCAGTGACAAAACCAAATAGAGAAGGCACATCAAAAGCACAAGCAAGAATACACACCTGGATATACAACATACAGAATCTCGTAGTCCCCAAAAACTGATGGTTTTAGGGAAATTTTTTTGCTCCATAAGTTTTCAAACGTTAAAAAAGCAGTAGCATTGTCAAACTTCACTTGCATTGGTACTAGGTCAACAAGAACTACTGTCTTGTCAGGCTGATCACCAGCTACATTTGCACCCATAACACGAACCTGTCTCTGTGCCATATTTACCCCAGATGACACTTCTTCCGCAAAATCAGATACCAATGGAAAGAATGAATACAGATCAACACTTAAGCGGACTCCAACTTTGATTGGTAGAACACAAACACATGGGGCTCCCGCAGGTGGATCTGTTAGAGGCTCTGGGCATGCTAATGAATTGCAATCTGCATTTATAAGGCTCATTAGATAATGAAACAATAAGAGCACATATATTATATCCATCTGTAAATCTTGAAAGGACATACTAGGTATGTGAACATGTAAATAAAGCATGCACCTAGATTAGGCGGTGGTGGAGGTAATGCCCAAATAGGATGGGCTGATGGTGCTTTCGGCCCTGGTTGGGGAGGGATTGGTGGCATGGTTGGAGAAATATGAGGCCCTGAAAAAGGCAGCATTTTTTTTCAAAATTCATCAGACAAGAGAAACATGGATATTTAACAGGGAGATAAATTAAGGCTTTGAGAGTACTTTTGTTTGAATGAGTGGGAGTCCTTGATGACACTGGTGCAGAAGATGGAGAATACGCAGGCAAGTTCGTATGGCCTGGGCAGGAGAATAATTAAGTTGTTAGTGCTATCAAATAAAATCAGGACCCATTTGGAATGGAATATTTTCCTTTTTCCCATGGGTACTCATAGGATAAGAACTAATTCTTGTGAAATCCATACAAATAGGGCATTAATTAACACAGAAACAGCCTATCAAATATGTTTAGACAGCAATGGCCTACATTACCTCGAAACATAGGTGGAGGTGCATGGTGCTTTTGCCTTTTAGCCCCAGACTGCCTTGGAGCCCGTGAGTTCTCAGGACCTATAATGCAAAACTTTTGAGAATCTAAATGACTCAATATAGACAATAACTAGGTTGTTGGTAGAAGAATTTTGTCAAACCTTGAGCATGAGATGGTGGATAAGATGGGGCAAATGGAAGGTGTTCTCCTTTCTTCGGTGCCCCACCCCGACCATGGTATCTGCTAGAAGTTGCTGGTTTAGGAGCAGCTACTGTTGAAGGGGGTCGGTCATGAGAAACTGATGATCCATTCTTTGGGACTGCTGGCATATTTGTGTTCTGGGGCAAAGGAGTTTCTGCAGGTGCTGATCCTGAGATGAGGAATTTTTGTAATCAAGCAACTTTGTCATATCCAAGCTACCACGGCCCGGCAACCCAATGAAATTTTCTGAGATTACCTCTAATTGGCGGTTTGTGAGCTGTGCCAGTTTGACTACTGGATTCCTTTGGTGGCAGTGCACGTGGAATATGACTATTCTTATGGGGAGGTGATGTATTTGCTGGGGGCACTGAGTTTCCTAAATATTTAAAAACAAAAACCTCCAAAAATTTAGAACAAAGGGACTTACAAAGCATCATCAGATCAATAGGATTGGATATGTTTATACTTCATTCTCACCATTGCTATGGTCACTACTTGGTGCCAGTGCTTGCTGACGTGGTGCTTGTGCAATAATAGGTGGTGCAACTGGAGGTTTTACACTTTCTCGCGGAACTCCTATTGAAGAAATGGAAAAACACAAGCATACACAACATGATTATTTTGATTGACCTCAAAGCAAATAGTTTAGTTTACCTGAAGTGGAAGGAGGAATGGCAGGTAAACTTCTTTGAGGTGGTGGATACGGAGGGACGCCATTCCCTAGAGAAATAAATGTATCAGGTGAATATTTGCATAATTGTAAGGAACCTTTTTGGACATGGACATGAAGAAGTCCAGGAACTTAAGGTTTTGAGTTGCCACTATCAGAATATATACTTATACGCTGCCTCTCAGAAAAAAAAAACAGAGAAAGAATATATACCTGATCCAATTGGTCTGCTTGGTGGATTGTTCACAGAAGGAGGTTGCACTATCGGTAGATTAGGATTCCTGGCCACAGATGGAGCAGGAGCCTGAACAGAAGGCAACAAAGCAGGTGTCCCAGGAAGCACTGGTGCAGGATTTTCAACTGCAGCTTGCGGGGGAGCTACTGGCGCCACATGAGTGGGAGCAGGAGGCGTAAGCTCAACTGGAGGAGGCGCATTATATTCTACATAAGACGTAGTTAGTGATACACTCATTAGAACTGATGCGACATCATGATCTAACCGCGGGACGAACTACCTTTAGGGGGTGTTACTGGAGTAGGCGCATTTTGTGGTCGAGTGGGAACAGCTGGGCTGACAGCGCCCTTCGCCACAGGAGGGCTTGCTGATGGAGCAGAGGGTGCTGAGACAAAGCAATTGTAAGGACAATTGTCAATGCTGGTTATGATCTTGAGAGCCATAATGCCACACCACATTAGAAATTCAGAGCAACCTGTTGGAAGAGTTACTGGACCGAGGGCGATTGTAGGTTCAGGAGGGCTAGAAGTTTGATCTTGAGCATCTGGCGAGTTAGCGACCACAGGAGAAGGACCCAGATCAGTACCTGCAGTGGAGTAAAGAACACAACAGGGTCATGGAATGTGCCACACGTACACTGATATCCAACTACTAAGCTCAAAATTGCACAAACAAGTTGGTAACCACCCTGTGAGTGTGGATTAGTACTAGAGGCAATTTGTCCATGTTGTTTTGCCGTATGAAATTAGCAACTAGGAAAACAAGAACAATGGTAATGCAATGCAAGTGCACAGCACCAAAATTATCAGAAAAGAAAACAAGGTGTAGTATGCAACAAGTGGGGAAGATACATATTCAGCGAAGTTAAGCATTTCCCAGTAGACAAGCAAATGGGTGGAAAATAAAGCACATGTGATGGAATTTAAAGTGGCTAGTAATTAGCACGAGATGCCTAGCACACAGCCAACCAGATATGCCAAGCCACCGACATTGCACCATCCTTCTTAATGAGAAGAAGCCCATTCAATCCTAACAAAATTCACAACATCCTCTCCCAAATTTGCTCAAATTTTGAAGTAGGAACAGGCAACTGCATTTTTTTTTCCCATTCACAGATCAATTAGGCAGCATGTGCATCACAGAATCCATCCATGAGCTCTCCTAACAAATCACACAGCATTCTTCTAAAAATTCTCCTAACAATTCAAACAGCATTCTAAATTAACCCAGAAAAAACCATGGAGAAACAACCAAATCTCCAGATTACTGGACCAGCATCCACAACCCCATCATATGATCCCAACCTGAAGAAGAAGAACTAAAAAAAAAAAAACAGGAGGCGCAAAAACAACCTGAAAACCATGGCGAATGCCCGGAGCTCGTCTCACCTGTAGATCCAAGAACCGAAGCGAGAAGAAGCACCGCGCAACAAGCGAGCGACCGCATCTCGCCCTTCCTCCCCTATTGCGCCTCACACCAAGAACAGCCAACTCAAGAACAGCCGCGCCAAAATGCGAGAGAATCACAGATCACAACCATCTCGGGTGGCGCGCGGCGCCGCTCCTCCTCCCGCAGGAAGGCGACGGGGCCTGACCGCCATTTTGGCACCACGCCATGAGCAGCCACACTCCCATGTGGGGAGGGAGAAGAAGAGGGCAATGAGGAGGCGGCAGAAGAGGGGTTAGCCAAGCAAAGCTTGTACTAGTACCACTAGTGGTTACTGGTTAGTACAGTACAGTACACCACAAGGCAGTGGACTAGTGGTAGCTAAGGAATAAATTAGTGAGAAATTAGCAACAGAAGAAGAGGAGATTAAGAAGAAGGAGAGAGCTTTGGGTCAAGATGCAAGAACCAGCACAGTAAACATTCCTTGCTTGCTGCCCCTGCACTCCTCCCTCCACCACTACCCAGATCATCATAAGCTGATGAAAGATGAAGGATTAACCAACTAATCAGGAAGAAAGAAAGAACAAAGCAGGAATCTTTGCTTGGGGCTAAGTAAACTATTCACCCCCAAGAAACACCCTCAGAGATGCAAGCTCGTCCTCTCTCTCATGCATCAGAGTGCCTGTCTGTCTGTCCCTCTCGCTGTAGATTCTTGGTCTGTGTTGTGGGGGGTCACTCTCCTCTCCTGCATCGACAGCCTGGTCCCCGTTCTTTCTCACTGATTACTTTATTTACTGTTGCGAAATCGGTGGGTTGGATGGGATCGGAGTATGCACAGCAGCAGCAAGAACCCTAGAAATCCCTCTCCCTCTCTCTCTCTCTCTCTCTCTCTCTCTCTCTCTCTCCTCGTGCCACGGCTTTGTCGGTTGATCACGAGGGCGCGTCGACCATCACCGATCACCAAGCACGCACGGCTGCTCCCTCCCAGCGTAGTAAGTAAATGAGCAGACATCGGATTCTGGCGTTTTGATCTGCATTTGCAATTCGAATTTGATTGCAGAATGTGATGGTGGTGGGTTTATCTGAATCTGAAACCCATCCTAACAGCCGATCTGCGTCAGTTTGCGTTTGGTTTCGTCGGGACTCGAGGTTGTGGCGTCGCCATCACCAGCGAGACCCATATATCAGCTCTTCTGCTGCTGTAGCTGAGCTCTGCTCATGCACCACGTACCAAAAGAAAATGGGATTAATCTTGGCAAAAAAAAATCACAAACAACAGGTTTATTAGTAGCTAATCACGGGCTGTTCATGGTGCTCTTGAGGTAATCATTGGTTAGAGGCAAAAACAAGAAAAAGAACAGCATTAACAGCGATAGTCGATTAGTTTACTCGGATAAATTGGGAGCTTTTGTCATCATACTTGAGCTGCTCGTGATCACGGTAACAGACAAGCAAGCAATGCCCTTCCAAGAGCCCAGATTACGAAAATCGATAGTCCAAAATAGGTTTGCGCCCGTGGGAGACTGTCAGATCCTCTAGTTAATTAATCAAAGACAAGAAAAGAATTATACAACTTGGAATACAATACTAGTAGCAAATTACTCTCGGAGCTTAATTGTCTTTCACTTCATGCTCGACCAGTTCTTGAAGCAAGCAAACCATGCAACATTTGCAACCACAATAAACACCATATCATCTCATCTTATCTCTTCTCTTATCCATATGCAACTCGATCAATTCAGCATCAAGCAACAGCAACATTAGAATGATGCCATGTCATATTTCAACCTGTAAAAACTAAAAAGATGATAAAGCTTCTAGAGCAGAAGCTTATATACACGCAACAACCGAAAATGTATCAACCCTGAAAACTGAAGGAAACTTTTTTTCCCTTTCTTTCTTTGCACTGCATGAACTGAAGACATCAAGGCTACATCAACCCATATATATGTACATAACAAATTAAATCGATCCAGAAAAAAAGGAAGTATGTGTAGTGTATATGCTTGTCTCCATATGTCGTGGTCGCTTGACCTACTCTCTCATGCTTTCGCTTTTGGCATCGATCGAGATGGCATTTGTTCCTGAGATTGCGTGACATGCAAAGCTGAAAGTTACCGGTGTGCTCGCTCTCGATCGCCACCTTTGCTTGCTAACTTGCCATTCATCCACGTGACCACGTGGTGATCCTACGTGGACACATATGTAGACCATCCCCATTTTTGTTTTCAAATTTCTTTTTGTGTGAAACGATGGTATTTTGTTTTTTTCCCCCGAAGAACACATGCAAAAATTGTACTACATTATTGCGCCTAGTCCATGAATATAAGCATTTATATGTTGTTCTAAGTCAAACTCTTTTAAGATTGATCAAGTTTAACTTATGACGAAACTAAAAATATTTATGGCCCCGTTCGAATCCACCTAAAAGTGTGGATTAAATTTTGGATTAAAGTGACACGCTTTTCAAACTGCTAAATGGTGCGTTTTGTGCGAAAACTTTGTATGTGAAAGTTGTTCTAAAATATCATATTAATCCATTTTTCAAGTTTGTAATAATTAAAACTCAATTAATCACATGTTATTATCACTTCGTTTTGCGTGAAACACTTAATCTTCATCAGATTCAAACACCGCCTATGTCTTGGAACTGGGGGAGTACATGTCAATAAGAAATGAGAATACATCTGACCTTGTATTTCCCTCAACAGAACCTGCAAGTTATAAAGGCTTGTTCAGACTGCATGGAACTTCTATGATTAGAGTAGACATCTTTAAATAAAACCTGCCACTAGATCTTTTAAATGAGTATGGTCCAATGACTAAGGTAATGCTAATTAGTAGATTGGAAAACCAAGACCCAACCCAACTACTGCTCTTGTATTATGTTCTTCAGCAGGAGTCAGAATAGGGCGGTCCAGGTGTATGTGTGCAGTAAAGTATCAGCAACCAACCTATTCTTTTACCCAGGTCTATCTGTTGATTCGTCCCGGCCATCAAAATCACCATACAATGCATGCCGAATGAAGTGGTAGGTTAGCTTAATTTGCACAGCGATACAAAAGACGACGTTGTACCAGCTCAATATACTTTTCCAGATCAATCCAAGTATCATCTAACTGTAGTCGGCAAGAAAATTAACCAAAGTGTCTGCAGGGCCGTCCTGGTTGGTAGTGGCAGAGCCAATAAATTTGAAGAGCCTGGGTAAATCTAACTACGTTGAATATTTGCTAATAAAAAAAATATTTTTTTCAATCCCTGTGATAACATCAAAATTCTATCGTGTATATGTCAACAAACATAGACGCTAGGGATGAAAACGGTGGAGGAGATTCCTGACCAACTCAGTATCTTTTTTATTCTGACCGTGTATGAAAAAAAATTCTAATTTTTGAGAGCGTTGTTTGAATTCGTCATTAGATAGTTGAAGTGCTAGGTACGGAAAATTCTGACCAACCGAGAATCATTTCCATGGAAATGATATCGTTTCTGACCATTTTCATATTCCCTTAGGATTGCTTTGCAAGTGGTGAGATGCGGGTGGAGCCATGGTACAGATCTTGAAATGGAATTTCTAATCATCTTGAAATTTCCATTATTGAATTTCTTAGTATCGGTCCCCTCTGACAGCGCAATATTGTTTTTTTTTTTTTTTGAAAATTCTCAAACCATGTGTCCATACACAATTCAGACAACAACAGCAAATAAAGTTCCATGCTGCTTGAACCTAAAATTCCCCCAAATTTGTTTCCTTGATCTAAAATCTGTCTGAACATCTTTCTTCAAAATGTAGTTAGGAGCCAAGAAATTAATGGAAGTGTCCTGCCTCCAGTTAGTTGGTCCATCTCCTGTACTCGGTACTCTCCTCATCCTCACGCGCGTATAAATTACTCATACACAGCTACACTAGTTGAGCCGTTGTTTGTTGCTGTTCGTACGTGGACCTGACAAAATTAACAAGCCATCAAGACAGTTGGGCTCACATGCTCTTGTCTCTTCACAAACCTTAATGCAAAGATCTATCTATACCCAATGTCTGAATATCTATCTGAATACCTGATGGAAGCAAATGCCAAGAACACAAGTAAATATTCAGGGACAAGACAGCATAATTCATTGCCGCTTAATTAGTACGTGGGGCACGGATGCAACTAGGAATATTAATTAGTTTTGGTTCGTGAGATGGATCGTCTTGGGGAGAAGAGAAATGGATAATGCCATTTAATTTGTGTATATTTTAAGCCAATCACAGTTGATCTGCATGCGCATAGTTGAGAAACAGCGTAGTAATGATTTGAGTTCGTGCGTGGCATTAATTGGTTAGGATTTTGGGTGATGGATTCGATCCATACCTGATGACGTGATCGATTTGTTAGGAGTACTGAACAAGATGGATAGGATAAGGTAGTACTCTGGTACAGTGATGATCTTAATTTCATCATTAGTTTAATGTTTATGTATCAGTTTCATGGATTAATCATTTGTGCTAGCACTAACCATGTTTAACTGTACTTTTCTCATTTTTTCTGAACTCGATCTTGCCCCCCCCCCCTTTTTTTTTCTGAAAGTGATCGGAATATTTGCTATCTTCAGCAAGAACAACATCATACTAAAATCTTCATGACAAATTAATATATGTTATTGAATTTTGTTAAGATCCGAAAATTTATCTGAACATGTAAACTGACTAGCAGCAAGTGATCCATAGTGTTTATCAGTACTGAAATTTTGATCCGAATAGTTGCATGAATGCATGGTGCTGTAAAGGGGAAAAGTGCAGGCATTCTGCTGAGCTGCATGTGGCAACCGATCGAGGCTCCACCAACCTTACCCTAGCAAGAACACAGGCCAATGATGCTTTTCCTCTCCTCTTTCCTGTACTAACAACCACGAGCAGATTGATTAGGTTATTGCAAAATTACCAGCACATGATCAGGCAATGGTGGGATTAATGATTAATTACAGCAGAAATCACCATCACTCGCTGTGATGATACACACCATCAGAGAAAGAAAGGATGGCTCTTTTACGTTAGATATCCGCATGATGTCTGAATTCTGGATGCAATGCAACTAACTGAACGTAGTACGTTTATCTTCAGAACAATCATTCAGAAAGCAAAAGCCACACCACATCTCCTCGTCGTTGTTGACGCCCACATTAGCAGAGAGACACCGAGAGATATCTGAATTCTGAATTCTGAAATGGGAGTGACCACTGACCACCACCACCAGCAGCAGCAAAAGTGACCGAATCCAACGAAGTTGCAGTGCAGTGCAGTGCAGCGCAGGCGACGCAAACGCTGGCACGAGCAGGCAGGCAGGCAGGCATGTACACGCGACGTCGCTTTGCCTGAATCAATCAGCGCCCAAAGCAGCAACTTTTCCTTTTTGCACTCGCAAAGAAAGAACACAAGCAGGCAGCCCATGGCGATCATTGCAAACCGCTTTGCCGTTGCCTCTCTAGCTACTGCCTAGGTTACAGTTTTCAGGCTGCCTTGCGTTGCAATTCTGTTCCTCATCGCAAAATCTCTCATGCAGCAAGCAGCTCTCTCTACTCTCTAGAAGTATGAAATCATGAACGGGATGGTCAATGATGCATCGGTTGAAAAAACAGACAGTGATCCTGAATCCATGGGGCTTGACCAGCAAGTCTCTGATAGCACTCCTTTTTGCAGGCCCCTCCAAAACGAAGAACTGAAGAACAGTATGATGATGGATTTTTTTTTCAGCAAAAAAAAAGGTTTTCAGTGATCTTTTATCTTTGCTCTTTTGCTGCACTGCTCATATGCGCTCAAGAACCGAGTTGCCTGAACTAGACTGAACTCTGAAGCCCTGAATGGATGAGAAATGGAGTTGCACTTGCACAGGCACATACTTCGATAAGGCTTCCATTTTTCTGGCACGACCACCACTGTATTTATTTTTCCTTTTCTTTTCTCTCTCTTTTGAAGCACACGACCGTGATAATTGCACAGGGCCGTGATAATCGTGGTAGTAGTATATGTGAATCGCTAGTGTTTTCTCATCAGCTTAAGCTTTTGAGTTGAACTAACTAGTTTTATCCGTGTATATAACTGAATATGGTATCAGAGTAATGTCCATCTTTCAATGAACAGC